GTAATGAGTGTTTAAGTATTTTTTCTTTCCAAGTATTGCATGGGACTTTCTAGAGGTGAGTGAGATTTCATGTAGATAACACAGCAATTTTTAAAATTGACTTTAATCCTCCCCAGAAAGTAATGTTGTTAAATTATATGACGCAAAGAACTGCAGATGCTGGACATCTGAAACAAAATCAGAAGTTGCTGGAGAAACCCAATAGGATCAATATTATTTAGGACTTACTGTAGGCGAAACACAGATCCATTTTCACATGAATACTGAGCAGTAGATTCTCTTGAGCTCCCACAATGCTCTGATCAAACTACACGCTGTTGTCATGAGTATGATACAAGGAATTATTTGGACAATTGGAAAGGGTGCAGTTAAATAACAAAACTGATCCCCAGAGTCAGAAAATGAATTTTCAGCCATAGGTGCATAAATACTTAATTAGCCTCGGAATGAGACTGAAAACAAAGATCCTACAAGTTAATTCCAATGGGAATTAAATCTTCCATAGATTTTTTTTGTTCAAGAAAGAGCATAGAGTTCAACCTTAGCAAACACTGAGGGAAAAAACGCAATTAACTTGTTATTGACCTTTGTATATTAGGGCATTGCTGTACAGACGATGGCTGTTGTATTGTTGGGTGCAACACGTCAAAGGAGTTGACTTAAGAAAATAACTTTGGTCAAGCTTTTTATCTTGCACTCATCAGGACAATTTGCAAGAAATAGCAATGTAAAGGGAAAACAATATTTCTGCTCCATGAGGAGAGTGTTGATTATTTGACAGGCACATTCTGATTGAAACATTGCCATGGGGAATGTACCAGTTGATGACAACTGACAGTCAATTGCCAGGCTTTGTTTAGAATTCAGACCAGATATGTTGAGTCATAAAGTCGGACAGTATGGAAACAGGCCCTTTTGGCCCAACTGATCCATGCCAATCAGATTTCCTCAACTGAACTAGTCCTATTTGCCTGCAATTGGCCCATATCCCTCTGAACATTTCCAATCCATGTACATGTCCATTCATCTTTTAAATGTTGTAATTATATCCACCTCTACAGCTTCCTCTGGCAGCTCATTCCATATACACACCACCCTCTGTGTGAAAAAGTTGCCCTTCAGGTCCTTTTTAAATCTTTCCCCTCTCACCTTTAAAACTATGCCCTCTGCTTTCGGACTCCTCTGCCCTAGAGAATAGATCTTGGCTATTCACTCTATCCATGCCCCTCATGACTTTCTAAACCTCTTTAAGGTCACCCCTCACTCTTCTACACTCCAGTGAAAAAAGTCCCAGCCTATCAAGCTTCTCGCAACTGAAATCTTCCAGTCTCGGTAACATCCTTATAAATATTTTTTGCACACTTTCCAGTTTAATAACATTCTTCCGCGAGCAGGGTGACCAGAATTGTATGGAATACTCCAAATGTGGCCTTACCAATGTCATGTACAGCTGTAAAATGACATCCCAACTCCTATGCCCAATGCTGTGACCAGTGAAGGCAAGTGTGCAAAATGCTGCCTTCACCACCCTGTCCACTGTGATGCCACTTGCAAGGAACTACATACCTGCACCTGTAGGTCTCTCTCTTCAACAACAATCCCCAGGGCCCTATCATTAACGGTGTACATCCTGCTCTGATTTGTCTTACCAAAATGCAACACCTTACATTTATCTGAATTAAACTCTATCTGCCACTCCTCCACCCACTGGCCCAGTTGATCAAGATCCTGTTGTACTTTTCGATAACCACCTTCACTGTCTACTATGACATCACAATTTTGGTGTCATCTGCAAATTTGCCAACCATGCCTCCGAAATTCACATCTAAATTGTTTATATAAATGACAAACAGTTGTGGACCCAGCACCAATCCTTATGGCACACCATTGGTCACAGCCTCCAGTCTGAATATCAACACTCTCTCACTATCCTCTGTCTCCTACCATCAAGCCAATTTTCTATCCAATTTGCTAGCTCTCCCTGGATCCCATGTGATCTAACCTCACTAACCAGTCTACCATGTGGAATCTTATTGAAGGCTTTGCTATAGTCCATGTAGACAACATCTACCGCTCTCCTTCACCTATCTTCTTGGTCACCTTTTCAAAAAACTCAATAAAATTTGCGAGACACTATTTCCCATGCACAAAGCCTATCCCTATGACTATCCCTAATCGGTCCTTGTCTTTCCAAATGCATGTCAATCCTGGCTTTCAGAATCCCTTCCACTCTGGTCAGGCATTCCCTATGAAATGAACCAGTCAATGCCTATCACTTATTGTAGTGAAACACCGAATGTGAAAAGGGCGGAGAGACAGTTGGGAAATTAGGCAGAGTGATGTGGCTTGATTGTAAATACCTTCTCACAGATCGGAGTGACTGATTTTTTTTTTAAATTCCAGTCAGTGGTTTGATGTGGAAGTTTTTGCTCCTTTGATGTCAGAATGATCCACTCCAGTATTTGGTGCCTGCTGCTGAGGGAGCACTGGATATTTTCTAATCAACCTGTTTGGAGATGCTATTATACTGCTCTGCAGCGTGTGGGACTTGGACCTGGGTCTCCTGACTGGGAGATAGCAACACTATGACAGTGCCACAAGAGTCCCTGCTGAGGGAGTGCTACATTACCAATAGTGACATCCTCCAGGTGAGCTGTCAAGTGGAGCCCTGTCAAAAAAGTAAATTTATCCTAACGGGTTCCTTCTTCCTTGCCCACCATCAGAGCCTTCCATTCTCTTCACTTGTAAACAACTCAGCAGAAGCAGAAATAACGGGATCAAAGACTTTAAATCATCCCACAATGTTTTAGTTTACTTTCTGTGACCTTCAGATTTTTGTTCAACCAAAAAGAGCACCGAACGAAATTGTTCTTACATTATGTTTTGCACTTTTGTTGACTCAGGATCTGGTCAGCTCTGTTCTGATAAAGATTGTAACAGGTCCTCTTCTGGGCCACAGAGCCTGAGAGGCAATTCTATTATTATTTTCTTTGAGGAAGTAAGGCAAACCAAGTCTTTATTACTTTAACTCGGATAGAGTGATGTCTTATACAGCACTCGCAGACGCTGTCTGATGATTTATGAATACAGAAAGCAGATTATAGTTTATTCTGCAACTAACATAAGTGCTTGTTAATTGTCTCCTTCCCGTTGAAATGCTGAGGAGAGAGTAAACATACATTATTTGGAGTTTACCTGCTGACAATTGTGTCGCAAAAGCACAAACTAATTCAGGTACAGGTGAAGGTTCTGGGGCAGAAATGTTGCCAGTCAGTTGCTATTTCGGGTTATTTACAAAATGCTGATGAAATCAATCTTTGATTTTTTTTTTGGCATGGCACAGAAACTGAGCTGGGATAAATTCTTTATGCAGTTTGAGGTAAATTAAGCTTTATAACCCTCCAGTGAAATGGGGTGAGAGGCTCCAGTAAGGGTGGTTTAACTTTTGTGCTGGTCACGAGTTGCAATCTCAGAAAGAAGAAATAGTTTTCTCAAAAACGTTTTGATGTGGAACATTTTATGGGTCGTAAGATTTAAAAATCAGTACACAGGTTTGAGAACCAACGCTTGCAAAATGGAATGTGACAGTCCAATGGGGTAGAGACTGGCTGTTCGGTGCAGTACTGAGGGAGTGCTACACTGTCAACAATGCTGTATCTCTAGAATAAGAGATTGAACTGTGGTTATTCATTGCATGAACAAGAAGGATGAATTTCATTGAAACAAGACCCTGAAGGCTCTTGACGGACTGGATCTGAAAAGGATATTTCCTTTAATGACATAAGCAAGGATTAAGAGTCAGTGCTTAAAAATAAGGGATCGCCCTTTCAAAACAGAGATGAGGTAATTTCTTTCTCTGGCACCTTTGGAATTCTTTTGTTGAAAAGCCGGTGGGAGCAGATGCCTCGAATGTTTTGAAGGTGGAGCGAGGGTGAAAGGTTATTAAAACAGGCAGGCATGTGGGACATGGCTACAATTAGATCCTATTAAATCAATTAATCTTACTACATAACAGAGCAGGTTTGAGGACCTACTCATTGTAGCACACAATCGAAGACAAATGGTGAACTTTCCCACTGTTGTTCCTCCAATAGCACTAAATCCAGATTATCTCTGGATGGTGATGATGAACCTGATTTGCAAGTTGGGCAATTCCAGCTCCTGCTTACTCTTGGGAGGCTCACAGTAAGAATGAGGGCATATTGGACTCAGCTGTCAAATAGTAGCTGGGGTAAGATGTCAGAATATGTTCCTCAGTTCTGGAGAAGGGTCACTCGACCCGAAATGTTAACTCTGATTTCTCTCCACAGATGCTGCCAGACTTGCTGAGCTTTTCGAGCAATTTCTATTTTTGTCTTTGATTTACAGCATCTGCGGTTCTTTCAGTTTTTGTGCCAGTAACTGCACATCAGCAAAGGAGTAAATGCCAGCGGGAGACAGAGGGAGAGAGGGGAAATATATAATCATTTTGATTGTAACCAAGGCCCGGAAAAATGCTCTTGGCAATTCTAGCTGATGAATGTTTTATATGCTCATATCAGATTCTTCTGTCTGCTTTGCAGTGGAAGTGTTAACCCACCCACAGGAGTCAGCAGCTGGGTTATTGAAACAGAGGAATGTTGCACAAGCTGCAGCGTCACGCACTCATACTAACACCGTTGAGGGAATTGTTTTAAATCAGAAAACAGGCTGGAAAATTGGGGTGACTAACAAGGGGCCATCATTTTACGGCTAAAGGCAGGAGGTGTCGATGGCAGGAGGATTTGAGGATAACCTCTTTTCCCCCAGAGGGTAGTGGGCGTCTGGAATGTACTGTCTGGGACAGAGTTGTGGCAGGAAACCTCGCAAGCTTTACAAGGTGCTGGGATGAGCAATTGAAATATCATAACATTCAAAGCTATGGCTGTAGTGTATGAAATGTGGGATTTGTGTAGATAGGTCAGCACAGACTTGCTGGGGCAAAGAGCATCATCTGTGCTATTCTGGCTCTATAATGGTCATCAATTTGTACATGGAGCTGTCACTGGGGCAGCTCTGCTGTTCATGGAATCATCAATAAAGTACAAGATTTCAAGTCAGAATTCTCAGACCCTGTTGGATAGAAAGCATGGACCAGGTCCCTGCACTTCACCAAATATCACTCTTTATTAAAGACAGTCTGATTCTAGTTATGGGTAAGCAATTCAATTCAAATTCCAAGTGCCTTATAAATGTTCCCCATCCCCACCCCCACACCCCAACGCTACGCAA